TGGTAATATCACCACTCCATTTGTACATTCAAGTAAACAACCTTTTGTTATTGTCCAAACTGATTTTGGGTAGATATGAATACGAACTAATTGGCAACAAGAGGCACTGCTTAATGGTCATAAAAAACTTGACTCGACTTGTGCTTGGTATGAATATATTATACACCATTAAAACACAACAGAATAAGTAGTCATGAACGGATTGCACTGAATCACACTTAATAGTCATCATGGATGATTTTCAACAGTTTTTCACAAGAAATTTTCGAGCTTTTCGTTAAACAGTCAGCCAGTAGAAGTGTTCCAGACTCCGAAATAACTTCCGACACTTCTGAATTTTCTACCATTGACCGGAGAGCCGAAATTTTGATGCGTAGACGCTTATATTGCGGAATTTTGCTAGAATAGACAGATTCCACCAGCGAACGATTATCAGTAACTACTTTCACGGGAACCTTCACAGATGTCAGTTCCGATATCATTTTCTGACAAAATCACCGAACATCACCCGAATATACATGGAAGTGTTAATTTTAACTTTCTCACCTCCTCCAAAAATAGCACTGGAACTCACTGGTTTTCTGATTACTTGTTTGAACAGAGGTTTCGGCAGCAATTTCAAATAATCGGTCAGCCATTTTTCACCAGCTGCAGTCGTAGTACAACCTGAATCCAAGATAGCTTTTCCATGGCATTCATCAGTGAGTTGACCAGATAACATAACAAAAGACAGAAAGGCCTTCTCCTCAATGTCACACGGAACATCGTCTTGTGAGACCAAAGCTGATGATTCTCTTTCTGGGCAATCTTCACCTAATGAAAGCGACTTTCACAGTGTCCACATGTACTAATACGACCATCTTTGTTAAGAGGATTTGTTCCTGATGGTTTCTGTCCCCGCTGTTATGAGAACCACGAACGTACGGTCGGCTACCTCCGAAGATTCCTTCTCGTCCAGCACATTTTCTGTCGGTGTCGAAATTCCCCGAATTAGTGTACAAAGCGGTATCAACTTCACGATCGCATACGAAAACAGGTTCATCTTTGACCACAATTGGTGTACAGAAAGCCACTTGACAGACCTGTCTCTAAAATTCCTCAGAGGGCGCTCCACAAACAGGCACAAAAAACAAACATAACAAATCTATTTAATAAGTTTATCACAACAATTAGGCTAATTTTTTTGACGTCGTTCTTGTTTTTTTTGGAGCAACCGAAAAGAAGTGGATGCTAACAGACCACAAGCATGAGCTCTTTGATAAATAAAAAAATGGAGCAAATGACGTGTCACTTCCAAAACCCCATCCCCAAGTTTCAAGCCCGCCTCTGAATGACCTCGGGCAGAGAATAAAGCTAAAAGGTAAAAAGCTCGATGAAGGAAATGTAACGGGAGGAATAAGGCTTGCTGCTTCGGATGACAAAATTGCTCCTTTTTCAACTGATAACTATCAAAAATTAATGTCTAAGCACCCTCAGCGAGCCAAAATTGCAGCTCCAAGTCCAGAAAATGTAGATAATTTTTTCGTAACCGATTTCGACCTATACAAAGCAATTTTTAAGATCTTGTTCGTAAGTCGAATGGCAGTGCAGGACTTAATTTTCTGAAATCGCTTACTAAGCTGATAAACCTCATTGGACATGGCAAAATACCCGAGCCCTTAAGATCTTTCTTTTTTGGCGCAAAGCTTATCGCCCTCATAAAGATAGACGGAGGGTTGAGACCGATTACCATAGGCAGCACGCTGAGACGTATCGCGTCTAAATGCGCTGGAAGCAAGGCCCTCTCCGAGCGACAAAACTTTTTCGGAAACGTACAGGTAGGATGCGGTACCAAACGAGGAGCAGAAATCGCTGCACAGTCTTTTCGAAACCTAATTGAACGCGACGACAATCTAAAATGCACTGTTCTTTTAAAACTAGATTTTAACAATGCCTTCAACTCTCTAAATAGAGAAACAATGCTGAATCATGTTTATTCAAATCGCCCCGAATTGTTTAATTACACCCATTGCGCGTATAGTAAACCTAGTTACCTTTTTTACGGAAGCTCTGTCATAGTGTCAGAAGACGGAACTCAGCAAGGTGATCCTGAAGCCCCACCCCTTTTTGCGGAAACAATTCAGACACTAGTCAAACAGTTAGTCGAAAATTAACATCTGGTATTTAGATGATGAAAATTTAGCCGACGACTAGATTTGGCTCCCAATGGATGAACGTCATCCTGTGCAAAAATTTAAGGGGCAAACTGTCGAACCAACAACTCAGAATTGCGATAGGACTTCGATTAGGCTCAAAAATATGCGAACGGCATTAATTCGTGTGCAGAAAAGACGTTACCGAGGATGGTTGGCATGGTCTTTCTTGCCTCAAATGTACAGGTAGATTCTATAGGCTTTCAAACCTGAATGCCCTTAAGAAAGCAGAGTTTATCTTTTACTCACATTCTGTCTGTTTTAGAACCACGACACATCTACAGGACCAATCAGAAGCGGCCAGACGGTTTGACGCACATGACCGATCAGAAGCGACCAGACGGTTTGACGCTCGTTCCATGGGCTGTTGGTAAGCAGCTCTTGTGGGATGTAACGGTACAAGACCCCTTAGCTCCTTGTAGGATTAATGCCGGGTCTGTTTGTAACCCTGTTACGGCTGCCGCTGAAGCGGAAGAGCGAAAAATTGACAAGTATAAAGATCTTGTAGATGATGGATATCTTTTTCAACCGCTAGCTTTTGAGAATCAAGGCGCGGCCAGCCCCAGCACAGAAATTTTTTTGAGCAAGCTTTGTAAGAACCTAAGCATATGCATTGAGGAACCCAGAGCAGGCAGCTTTTTAAAACAGAGAATCTCTCCGGCAACACAAATTGCGAACGCCGCTTGCCTACTCTGAACAATAAATGACAAAATAACTTTCGACGAAATTTTCTATTTGTAACAGTTGTACATTATATTTTCTCGTGTCGAGTTGCGTGTTCTTTTTGAAGAAACGTACCCGTATCGATTTTAATTGAAAAGGACTCCAACACTTGTCATCTTCTTTCATCATTATCACTTCCATATCTAGAAAATTCCAAGGATTTTGACTGGAATACGTGATGAAGGGACTCCTGACTGTAAGCTCGGTTACTATGATACTTTTGACCTTCTGATTACTTTGACAGTTGGTGTACTCCCGGAGGCCTGGTTGCAAGCAATCACAGTTGAAAAAATTCTCTTGATACTACTTTTCATATCCGCTAAAGTGAGTTTCGGATTTCGCAACGAGCACTAATTTTCTGTCTCGCTCATCTTGCCCAGTGCAGAATAATAGCTTGCAAGCTAGTACGCCTTCTAGTAAAGCAAGTTTGTACTTTTCAACCTTGCATTCGCTTGCTCAAATCAGCAATGAAATCAACCATGCTCGCATTTGTGCGACGGAGTTTTTCTTATTTTTCATAGTCTGCGAAGAGCTCATCAACCTCTTCTTTGCCGAACGCTCCTTTCAAAGCGTCCAAAAATTTGTTCAGGCCTTCGTTGCGGTTCAATTCTGATAACGGAATAGACATCACTGTTTCTTTCTTTGCACCCGCCAATGAAAGCGCTATCACAGGCGCTCTTTTTTTCCTGGTATATCAGTAACCGTAACATCAAGCCGACGGGACTTCAAGCCGAATCGTAAAATTAGGGACTTCAAGCTGAATATTTTCTTATAAAATTGTGAAATATGATAAATTTGAAAAATTTTATTGAAGATTTTCGGAATTTCATTATCTTTCTTCACTACTTATTGGCGTTTTCATAAAGTTTAGGCCTCCAACTGATGTTTAGGAAAGTTGAAAAGTAAAACACGGTTGAAGGCGTTTTTCATGTCTATAATGTATGCATTTCAAATCCGGCTGATTTTATTAACGGATGCCAATCCCAAGTGATTCATTGTCATGAATTACGCTTTTTATGGACTAAACTTGCCTAAATTTTTCAAAAGCAACGTTTTACAGATAAAAAAATTGTAATTTGAGGTGCTTGTAAAGTTGAAATTTCGGCCTGAAGTCCCTTCGACTTGAATTCCCGTCGGCCTGATGTCCTCCACCATTAGTAAACCCCACCGGTCAGCATTACAGCACTGAAAAATGTTTGTAAGTAAAATGATGTAAAAACAGTCTCTGTTAATTAGTTTGCTCGCTTAATTGCTTTTTAGGCGTTTTTTTGTGTGGATACTTTGTTGATTTGAGTTTACTTTAAGTATTTTCTTCAAGTGAGTTTGCATTTTAAAGATAGATTTATGAATTGTGATGGCATTAAATACAATCAGGTATTTCCAGCCTCTTCTAAGCGTAGAGATTTTTTTCAATCAACTCAAAGCCGAGTACGACACTTCAAAGGGTTTTTATACTCTGAATGTCGGATGCAGACAGTAGCGATTCGGATGCAGACAGTTTCGACGAAATGTCGCCCTCAGCGAAACGTACAAGTAGTCACAAAATTGAATTCCGAAATAGAAGATTCTTTCTTTGCACCCGCCAATGAAAGCGCTATCACAGGCGCTCTTTTTTTCCTGGTATATCAGTAACTGTAACATCAAGCCGACGGGACTTCAAGCCGAATCGTAAAATTAGGGACTTCAAGCTGAATATTTTCTTATAAAATTGTGAAATATGATAAATTTGAAAAATTTTATTGAAGATTTTTGGAATTTCATTATCTTTCTTTACTAGTTATTGGCGTTTTCATAAATTTTAGGCCTCCAAATTTCAGTAGTTTCAGTCCTTAGTAGTTTTAATTGAAAAATATGCACGGCTTAGTCCGAAAAAAAACCGTTCTCGGGGACCCTGAACTTCAAAAAGTCCGGTGTACAGAAATTTGAATTTTTTAAAGAACTTTATATAGTCTAACACAATTTTCCAAGTTTTTTTTTAATTTGTCCGAGCCAAACAGCAGGAGAAAGTACTCTGGTCATTGTTTTGCGAGCCACGAGTAACTAAACTCACAAGACACAAAGCAAAACAAATCACACTCTTCTCACCCTTGTTTTTGATGCGCAGACACTTCCTCTGCTTTCAGCTTCTGCTACCGTCTTGCATTCGCCTTCCTCGTTGTCTGCGACGGTCTCTCTTGTTTGCCCCTGACATTGCCGATCAGTTCTGACAGTCTCTCTTTGTGTGCCTTTACCAATTGCAGAAATTTCAGCTCCAATTCAGCACTCTGGTGCAGCGTCAAATATTGCGTGAGCTGCTCCGGGTCGCTTTGTTTGCTCTTGGAGAGCAGACGTTTTGTTGCTGGAATAATGAGCACTCCCATGCCGAGTAGCTCACTAAACAAGTCGGGCATTCCTTCCCTTCTGCAAACGACAATCGCCATTATCTGCTGCCTCGTCGACTTGAAATAGTTTGTCACCTCCTCGACACAGGCTGCGCAATAGTTGTTGGTTTTATGGCTGCTAATGGCGTTAATCACCACGTCGTGCCACGCAACCAATTTTTTCTCCTTCAAGGGAGTGTTTTCCAGTAACTTTAGGAGGTTCTTTCCATAGTTCAGCGAATTTTTTTTCAGGGATAGGCCAGGAATTTCTGTAACAAGGCTCTCGTATCGCGTTTTCTCACGTCTGTTGAGGGTGTTGATGCTATGGATCAAGGAGCTAGAAACAATTTCGGTATCTCAAATACAAATTGGCCATATTCTACGTATCGATAAGAAAAGACAATAAAAATTCACTCTACATTGATGAAAATTATTAAAGTTTTTTAGATACTGGCCCTTTAATGGGAAAACAGTTGGAATTTTAAGCTATTCGCTTTTTGGTCTATCGCAAAAATACAAATAAAATTGAAGACATTTTTGATAAACAGTAAATATCAAACTTTTTTGCAACTCTGTGCATCGTCAGCAGTTTTACAATAAACTAAGCTAAATGACGATGAAACATCAATTTACAAATTTACAATTCACTAAAATTTTTGTTCTTAACCATCATATTAAAAAATCAGCCAATCACAGTTGACTTCAAAAATTACTATTTAGCCTAAATTATTTTCAACCTCTAAAACTAATTAAACAGTTTTTAATTATTTGTCTGGAAGTTTCTGAGTCATAATTTTGATTTAGACATGTAAATTTTAAATTAAAAACCAAAAATATTCAGTGTTAAATAATGAAACTTAATTTTACAAGTTAGTTTTATTTTCAAAATTTGTCTCAGCCAAACAGCAGGAAAAAGTACTGTGGAAATTGTCGTTAGGAGTTTTTGTGTGAGCATCCGCTCAACGCAGAGGCTTCTGTTAAGAGGCTTGCCAATCATGATGTTGAGAATAATAGCCATGAGCGCCATAAAATCTTATATGTAACATTCGCCCTGAAGTACATACCGAGGGAAAGTGAAGCAAGATCCTGAAACGATTGGCTAGTGTCTGAATTCAGCTTTAACTGCTTTTAAATCTCTATACCATAGCCAGTTTAGTCGACATCGGGTCGACAAAATTGTAAATTCTCAAGGCTATCAGTAGAACCGCGCAAATTAACTTAGTTGCATGTGGACAGTTAACTCATTGCTGGCTCTCAGTATCTCCAGATCATGAATTCACTCCTTAAAGCAGGGCTAGTACGCTATTACTAATAGGTTAATGTAGTACTCTTGTTTTTGTACAGCAGAGAAAATCACCGCATCCATCGGAGATGGAGCGACACGTTCTCGCAACTCCTAGCTTCTCAATATCTGAAAACGAAACTTTATGTTATTAATTTCAATTCAAGACTCCCATCAAGCTAAAAATGTTCAATTTACAGTTTCGGTGTACAAAATTGGATCCTTACGGTTTCATTCAGTATTCAGGCAGGGCTGCCAGTCTTTCCCTTTGATGAAGCTCGTTCTAACTGCACAATCGTTACGACTCTGAAAGCTTCGTTTCTTCGTCTTCTGATTAACTATCCCTTTGTCGTTCCTGTCGTTTCCCATCTTGACCAGGTTATTGACTGAAGTCTTGCCCTTGATCTCCTGCTGTTTCGTTTGCTTCATCAGGGTCCCTTTTAATCCTCATCAACTTATACCAACGGTAGTCTCGGCCCAATCAAATTGCCAACAATCTTACTCTCAGATTCTTTGAGGACAACTTTGACTCCTTCACAGCTGAAGTGCGCTAGAGCATCTTTAGTCAACAGCTTGCTTTCCAGATGGTATAAATTCCCTTCTCTCACTGAAAACTATCATAAATTCCTCTTTTAGATCATTTCTTTCAGTCCATTGTACCAGCAAGTTTCGCCATCCTTCATTCGTTGGTCTCCAAGGCTCTCAATCTCTGTACTCGTACTACAAAGTCTACAACAAAGTCTGCTCTGAGCAAAATTCGTCTGATTAGAGAGTACTCCGGTATTTTATCGGAATTGTGTTGAAATTGTTCCAGTCTTCCGTTTCTTCTCTATTACTAATAGGTTAAAGTATTACTTTTGTTTTTGTACAGTAAAGAAAGTCACCGCCTCCATCGGAGATGGAGCGACATTTTCTCTCAACTCCTAGCTTCTTAATATCTAGAGTGTATTCCTTATGGCCTCATTCGACCGTTGCTAACGTTTGGCAAGGATAGAAGAATTTTCGAGAAAAAAAATAAACCGTGAAGAATCTTACTTCAAAACCGGTGTTTTCGCTGAAAAATAATCTGAATTTTTTCTATGTTCAAGTTCTTCAAAAAACGATTGTCTCACGCGTTAGCCTAGCTAATAGCTAATACCTGACCTGATCTAACGGTACCAAAATAAACTGGACTGGTTGAGGTCACTTAGATGCCCGGATGTTGGGATGGAGTTTTGGAAGTGACACTTCTTTTGCTCAATTTTTTTTCATTTATCAAAGAGCTCATGCCTGTGGTCTATTTACGTTCACTTTTTTTTGTTTGCTCTAAAAAAAACAAGAAACACGTTTAACAAATTTAGTCATTTTGTAAAATTATTCCGGAAGTACATACCGACTGAAAATGAAGCTAAGTTATGAACTGGCTGTCTAGCGTCTAAACACAGCTTCACATGCTTTTAACTGTCTCTAAAAAACCAGTTCAATGTTTGGTTCATTAACATTGGGTCGACAGAGACAAAGTCATTACTATTTAGGGCTATCGGCCAAACAGCGTAGGTTAACTTAATTGTATGCAAAAATAGTGAGCTCATGATGGGTGTCTCCAGACCACAAGGTCACTCCTAAAAACAGGGCTTAACTTTTATTTTATGATTGTTTTTGTTCAGTAGATAAAAATCACCATTTCTATCGGAGATGGATTAACTCCTTGTTATTTTAATTCAATATAATTCAATTCAATGTTATTTTAATTCAATTCAAGACATTCCGGGAAACTGAAAATTGTCAAGTTATAGTTCACAGTTCTTCTCCGAGTCCCTTCCGGATTCTTGAACACCGACGAAGAGTTGTCTTCTTGACGACCAGAAAGCGTAGCAAAATCGTAATAGCCCTCCTGATTCCCTGGAATTGCTTAGGAACGATTGTGGCTGTACAATCGTTACAGCTTGAAGCGCTCTCCTATAAAAAAAGATTAAAACAATTTCTGTCGTTCGCTCTTTTTCTTACACGTCTTGTGTGCCATTCCCCCAGATTGGCGCAGTCGAGCATGTCGACGCACTTGAAAAAGGACAATAAAGGCGTTATCATCAAAATAACAATAAAAAGGAGGGTAAAGCCAAAACGGTCATTTTGTCTGAAAAACACGCAGGAAAGAGACAACCCAATTAACAAGACGAAAATCAGTTGAAGAGAAACACGAGAAATACGAAGCCTCTTATCGTGGCATCAAGACACGATAAGACGCTTATCTGAGAAAGATCATACGGAAAAAAAATCCAATCGGACATACGGAACGGATCCGTACCCTCCCGTGCCACGAAATCGGAGAGGTAACAAGGTTATCTCCAAGAGAACGAAAAATTCCAGGCCCCGTGTCCAAACACGGTGAGAAACTATTTAACACATACTTTTAGCTACTATAATGCCCTGATTGGTTTAATTAACTCCAATATTGTTTAGTAATTCAGAGCATGAGTAGTTAGAAAAAGGAAAGTGTCAATCCATCTTCAATGAGTTTATTATATAACAGTCACTAAAAACGTAGTGAATTATGGTTTTCCAGATGTTTCTAATAGTAATCATGCTGTCCGGTTATTTTTGCCCGTAAACGAAAACTGATCAAAAGTCGTTTGGTTGATTGCCTAAAAATAGCAACTTTTTAACTAGACCTAAACAGACCAGAAAACTAACTGGCTAGGTCTAGACGGTTAAAAACGAAGAGAATTAAGGTAACTGACGCCTGCCAGTCGTGAATAGGGAATGGGTATTTTTTCTACGCTCCGTCACTGTGTAATGTCTGGTCGAGTATTACATTGTTGAGGTAGCGAGAGTCGTTATTCTGATTTTCGCGCTTTTCAGTTGCTGAGAAAAGTAAAGTTGCTACGGGTCATGCATGCTTATATCGGAACCTTCAAAATTATTTTGTCATTCCAAATTGACTCCTCCGAATACATTCAGTTGAACTATTAACACTGCTAATCGTTCAAAACAGCCAATATAAACTCGTTAAAGACATGCTTTTTGGGTCATTCTCGTCGAATTCTTGTCACATACCTCGGTTTCTTCATAGTTCTGAAAAATTTTGCCATTTAAGGGAATCCTATGAAGTACAATTGTGATTGTTAGGCCATAAAAATTCTCTTTTCTGGATTAAAACTGGTTTCTCCTGGTTAATGTTAGAAATAATTTGATGTGAAGCCTACATCATAGGGTTTTGGTTGATAATGATTATCTCTTACTGGCCATATGTTGCGTCTTTTGACGAGCGAAAATTGCGTTTATGTGCGTGTGTGTTTTGAGGGTGAAAGGGATTTAATGGCCTTCAACTTTTTAAATTTTTGTTTGATTTATTGTCGGCTCCTTTGTTTTTATTTTCTTTTTTTTTTGGTTTAAAAGGTGTTAAACTATTTATTTTGTATCGTCTCAGTGGTCTGATTTTGTTTCATATGGCGAGCAACTAAAGTTATATGTCTTTGAGGGTGAGG